TTATCTTTTACCCCCCTAAATGAGTTCAATTTTTTAATGTTTTATATAGATATGAAAAGAGAGCAGATTATGCAGTACTTTTGTAAATGTCAAAACAACCTCTGTAGTGGGTTGAATACTGTCCCCCCAAAATTCAGGTCCATCTGGAACCTAATTTGGAAATAGGCTCTCTGTAGATATCGTTAAGGTAAGTGTCTGAAGAGGAAATCATCCTGAACCAGGGCAGGCTCTAAATCCTCTGACTGGTGCACCTATAAGAGAGGATAGACAAAGAAATAGAGAGAACAAGGCTATGTGAAAAGGAAGGTAGACTGAGATTGGAATTATGTTGTCATAAGCCAAGAATACCCAAGGCCAACAGCAGCTGGAAGAGGCAAGGAAAGACTCTTCCCTAGAACCTTCAGAGGGAGCATGGCCCTCCTAACACCTTGATTTCAAACTTCCAGCCTCCAGAACTGACAGGATAAATTTCTGTGGTATGCCACCAAGTTTGTGGTAATGTTATGGCAGCCCTAGGAAACAAATACACCTCCATGTCGCTAAATTCAATGGTCAATTCTTAGAACTCATCCTATTTTACCTACCAAAAGCACCTGACTCAGCAATCACTCCTTCCTTTACTGATATACTTCCTTCACTTGGTTTTTCAGGACACCATACTTCCTGGTATTCCTCCTATGTCACTCATCTTTTCTCAGCCTCTTTTGTTGATTCCTTCTCTTTTCCCTTATTTCTTGAGTGTCCCAGACCTTGGTCAAAGATTCTCCTTTTCTATTGATAATTATTTATTACAGTTTCATGACTTTAAACACAACTGTATACTGATCATCAAAAACGTCTATCTTTAGTCCAGATTTCTTAACTTAAGTGTTTGTCAATCATTATCATCACAAGGATTTCCAGTACTTACTGTAAACTCAGCATGGCCCAAACTGGCCCCTTCCTCACCAAATCTGACCACCTGTATACACAGATTTCTCAGTCCACGACAATACAATTCTTCCAGCTGCTTGTGGAAAAAACTTAGGGTCATCCTTGATGCCTCAGTGTCTCTCTATTGTATCTATCGGAAAATCTTCCTGAATCCACCATAAAAAACATTAAAAACATATCCAGAATCTAACCACATCTCACTAACTCCTACTGCTACCACAACAGTTCTAGTCAACATGATTTTTTGCCTGGATTACTGTAACACCTCCTTACTGATCTCCTTGCTTCCATTCTTTTTTTGGGGCCTCTCTACAGTCTGTTTTCAATGTGGCAGTCACAGTGATCAGTCCTATTAAAATACAAGTCAGATTATGTCAATCTCCTATTAAAAGCCATTCTTATTTTATTCATAGTTAAAAAAAAAAAGTCCTCATGATGGCCTACAAGGCCCCATATTACCTTGTCTCCCACCCTCTGGAACATTTCTGACCTTATCTCCTACAACTCTCCTCCCTGTTTACTGTGTTCCAGATATACTAGTATGAGAAATAGTGAAAATGGCCAAGAAATTCTTCCCCCTCTACATCCACATCTTTGAAACATGATGTTGAAAATCTTCCCATGAAGAGGGGTATTCTTTTCCCTATCCTGTGAATTTGGGTTAACTAGGTGACTTGCTTTTCTATGAGTAATTACCAAAAATGATTCAAGAGAGGCTTGAAAATTATCTGTACACTGGGATTTGCACTCTTGCTCCTCTTGCAAATCGTGCCATGACCAAGTAAAGAAGTAAGATTTGCCTTGTTGATCTGGTGAAGAAACTGCCAATTGTCAGAC